AGCAATATTTTACGGAATAAATGGTGTGAATATATTTAAAACACGCAATATATGTTAATCTTATGATGCGTAATAATTGTACTGATGTCAAATAGCCAGCGTTTTACTGACATATTAAAGTTTCACAATAAGAACTATTTTGCATTATAGTAAAGTATGCGAAGAATTTTCTATACAGTTGTACTGTTAACGTCCTTATATCTTTCCAACAACACACTTACATGAACTGTATATCATTCGTACTTTAATGTCGTAATGGTAATCACTTCCTATAACACCTAGCGCTTTCTCTGAGAAGTTCTTTATAAATTAATTCCACACGTATTACATAGCTCAACATTGTTTTCAGAATCTTGTTACACTTCTAACTTGATCCGCATACTTTCTTTTTATCATTTCAGCTTCCATCTTATCTCTTTTTCCTTGTTCACTGTGAGATATACCATAGAAGAAATAAATAACAAATCCTACAAAAATAAAGAACATTAATAACAAAAGAAAACGCTAATATATTATCTTATTGGCTTTACTGCTATATTTACCGATAATCATCCATACAGCAAATCTGACCCATGTGAAAGTGTCCAACTGTAGCATCAAATACAGATTTACAAAAATGCTACAACATGGTAAAAATGGCACTAATGGTACCTAGAAATAACAGTAATGTTTAACTCGAGCTATCTTTTTTACTTTTCTGAAACAGATTTTTATAATGCGCACCTTAAATGCTATATCAACTTCTTGAATAGGCTGCCTTGCAACAGCTGCTAAATTCAGCAATAATATTATTATAAGTATGACTAGTATCACAGTTTCTATTACGTGGTTACCGAAGGCGTTTGCACCCGCAACATTAATTAACAATGTTATAGCAAATATAATAATACCTGCAATAACGACAGTGAAAGAATAAGATAATGTTAACGATGTTGAAATTTTCAGTTATTCCAGTAATAATACTTACATAACATTGCAATACCATAGCTTGCAATTTTAGTGGTAGTTTCACTGACCTCCTTCTGATTGTGTAAATTAAATATATGCTTTAGGATATTAATTGGTGAAAATTTAAAACTATTCGTTGATGTTGCTAAAGTATGATGGTTAGAGGTACATTCTTTTCCTTGATATCTAAAAATTACAATAAGATAAATATAATTCCGATGTTGTTAAACAACTCATATATTTCTCACTTAATACTGCATATTTGTTTGGCGCGTGTACCTTAATATTAGAACAGAAATTGCTACTATTGTATACGCCAACAGCGTTCCGATGGACATCATATCGATCAATTGATGAAGATTAAATAAAATAGTCATAAATCCAATAAATAAACCGGAAGCTATTGTGCCGAAAATAGGTGTCATGGTTCTGGGGTGTACTTCCGCAAAATATTTAAAAATTACTCCATCGCTACCCATGGCGTACAATACACGCGGTAGGGGAAACATTGCGCCTAGCAAACTTGTGCACAATGCGAATACTGCTCCAATGTTGACAATCCATTTGATAACGAACCAACCAATTTGTTCAAATACAAAGGGAAATGGCGCATCGATATCCTATATCCATACAATTTAAATAAAAGAAACAGCTTCTAACACGTTTTGATTCTATACTCGAAAAGAATTATATGCTACTCTACCTGAGCATAATAAGGCCACATCAAAGTTAATACAGTGGAAATGCTAAAATAAGCTACGAAGATGATACTTAGAGATATAACAATGGCTAGAGGTATATTTCGCTGAGGATTTTTAGCTTCTTCACCAGTAGTTGCCACAGCATCGAATCCCACGAAACCGAAGAAACATCTGGCTGCACCTGCCATTATTCCATTTATACCAAAAGGTATAAAACCTCCTACGCCAGCATGATCGACTGTCTTCGGTATGTCTTCCGGTCGTTTTCTCCAATTCGCGGGATCAGCTAGTAATTCAATGTTCGTCTTAAAATTTAAGTCTATTTTCTAGGTCTAGTAATAATTAATGTCGTTTTCCAATACATTTTTAAAACTAATTAATTTAAACAAAACAAAACTACTTGTGCCCAACGCTCAGGTTAAAACAGGTTATGTCAAGGTTATGTCAAGGTTACGTCAGGTGAACGAACACTAAGAAACGACACTTACTACTAGACCTAATATTTAATGTGTACTCTGGCTATATGATTATACCATTTAATGCTCCTGCTACTATAATAATTGCAATAACAATTAGATTCACAACACAAAAGATGTTATTCAAGATTGAAGACTCTTTGACTCCTATACTCAATAAAATCACAAGCAGGAACACCACAGAGCATGCAAAAAAATCAGGATACTCTGATAGAAACTGTACATTCATAGGCATAGCGGCGGACAATGTTTTTTTTATCACGTTTCCAGTTAACGCATCCAAATAATTACTCAAGCCGCGGGCGACGCTCGCGGTTCCTGAAAACAAAAGAGACGATGAAGAAACGAATACTATGATAGCTGATAGAAAAATGTTATAAAATTTCTCTACCTATTACATACTCCAAAATTAAATTCCATCCTATGATAAAAGCGACAAATTCTCCCACTGTCACGTAACTGTAAACATACGCCGATCCTGCCTTGGGAACTCTGGAAGCGAATTCCGCGTAGCACATACCTGCAATTACAATTGTCGTGATTATTTTAATCTTGCGCAGTTACATCGAAGAAATAATTTTCCAATAGAGACAAAGTTTTCATTTGAATGTTCCACCTCTGTGCGACCACAATGACAGTTCCTTCAATAATTTTTTAATACTTAAAAAGAGAAAACAAAAATTATTGGTAGCGATTAGTGAAATTATCAGTGGTATTATACAAAGTAATTTCTACATTCTTAAATTTAAGGCTCAAATGTCTGTTCATGACCCATCCATTCTACTTCTTTTTCATACTAATTAACCTCGCAGATTTCCAGCAGGAAACGTCAGAATATTCGATCAATTTTTGCAAAAATCGAAATAAGATTCTATTTCAGGCCCGCGACGCAGTTTCTTCATGTAAAGTCCTAAGATATTGTGGTCGCTGAAGAAATCGCAAAACAATGGGATAAACGTGAAGATATTTTTTTCTTTTACGACATGTCTTTGTACCGTTTCGTACCGTGACGCGTATAAAAAAAATAGAACACGTGTAATAGTTACCAGCAGACGGAGGAGTAATAAAAATATTTCAAAGTGTCTCCGCGTGACGGGAACAATTATCCGGTTGACGAAGGTTGCGAGGTATACTGATTTACCGGCAAATGCGGAAGCGACGGCGGCGATCAGAAAGGAGATGCTAACGGCCGGGCCGGCCGTTTCTTTCGCGATGCTACCGGCGAGGACATAGACACCGAGACCGAGGGTAGAGCCAACGCCGAGCCCCGTGAGATCCATCAGTCCGAGAACTCGAGCGAGTTCACCTTTGTTTTCGGCGTTCTCATCGATGCGCCTCCTGGTCAACGCTTTCCACAGTTGACTTGCCATCCCCAGCCGCCTTCGCTCTCAGTTCCTGGTTTCTTGTCTGCGAACAAAATTGGTTTCGAGATCAGTTAAGTGATCGATCAAGATTTCTCAATATTCGTAAATTTCAAAAGGGTGCAAATTTCACCCTTTGCGTTTGCAGAATTTTCTCGGGTGACATGCTGTCGACAGCTCGAAATAATATAAAATAATATAACGTTGGAAATGTTAGCTAGGCCTCTATTTAATCAGTTAGCTGTGTTTGATGAGTATACTCGTCAAGGAGAAGCGGTATAACTATATATATATATATATAATATACGACGAGTATACTCGCCGTGCCTAACAAAAATAGTGACCATTGGCTATTTAAATTGTAATTTTAGTGAAAGCAAAAACATATTATCATCGAGATAATATCATGTCAATATTATCATCATGATGTTTAGAATATTTTCAGGCCAATATAGGTCTATATACAGAGTGTCCCAAAAATGTCTGGTATTACGGAAATATGGGGTAGCTGAGGTAATTCTAAGTAACCTTTTCCTTTGCGAAAATGCAATCCGCGGCTCTGTTTACGAGTTATTAACGAAAAACAGTGACCAATGAGAGGCGTGCTTGGCTGGCGCGAGGTGAGTGACGCATGGCGGCTGAGTCAACGAGCGGTCGAAGCCCAGTTCCGCCGATTGGCTCGGCCGTCTCGCGCCAGCCGGTCATTGGTCATCGTTTTTCGTTGATAACTCGTAAACGAAGCCGCGGATTGCATTTTCGCAAAGGAAAAAGTTACTCAGAATGACCCCAGCTATCCCACATTTCCGTAATGCGAGACATTTTTGGGACATACTGTATAAATAAGATTAGAAAAGAAGGAGACACCACAGCTAATTGGTTAAATAGAATTTCGTTAGAGGATATATTGATCAAAATCTGTTATCTTTGCAGTAGCATAATCGGCAGCAGTCATGTATCATCCGCAAGAGAGGTGACATCCGAGCACAAAGGATTAAGCAGTTGGACTGCTGTAGCTATCTGAGAAGCTGGACTATTTTATTTATGTTTAATACAATTATTAATATTTATTATCGAATATTCGATCGGTTCCTGGTGGCCAGAATTGATTGACAGCCTCCGATTGACCGTTTTGGTACTCGATGAGCTCAACTGTAAGGTCTAGTCTCTAAACCAGGGGTGTCAAACTCGCGGCCCAGTCAATATATCCGACGCAAAATAAAAATAAAATAGAAATAGTCTCGGCCAATAAAATTTCTCCCGAAATAGGAAAGATAGTATCAGAGAAGAGATGTCAAGTATCAGAACGTAAACAATAATTTAACTTTATATATGTGTTTATTACAATGTACTAGTCAAAATAAAAATATTTGTTTCCATGAACATTGATTTTTTTTTGCGGCCCACCTAAAGTTAAGCATTGTTTATTTGGCCCAAGTTAGCTTTTGAGTTTGACACCCCTGCTCTAAATCGTCGTACAATGGTTTTTGGCTGCGACAACAATAATATGGTAACTGTTCTCTGTTACGGTCAACGCAATTGCGCAATCGCATAATAAGAGAATCGGACACTTTCCGAAGCGTTTCCGGAATGATTACGGTATGTACATACATATATGCTGTAATAATACGTTCTCGCGTGTCATCTGCGATCGCTAGTGATTCACGACGAACGTGATTTTCCATTGCTCCTTAAGGATGATAGTCGAGCGACGTTAAATCTAGCATCGTTTGACACGAAAATATTTTCTCAACGGTATTTAAAAAGCTATTAATGTTAACTATAGACATGGTATAACAGTTTTTGCGCAGCGTTCGATATTTTACTAAAATTCAGGGGAAAAGGAATCGTTGCAATATATGTAATTCTCTTGTTTTATTGCAACATTTTCTCGAGATTCGTTCTCCGTAGCGAACGACTTTGCAAACAAGGTTTGCAGCGGTTCCGTTGGTTGCTCCACCCTGTACTTACGAAGGTGGACCACTTGTAAGATGACGGTGCAATTTTTCCTGCTTCCTGATTAGTCGGATTAGTCAACTGCGTGCTATTTCGAGTCGAATAGTGCTATCGCTAAAACAAACACGCTAGCGTTATCATTTTTTACAGTTGAATCTTTGCGAGTGACGCGTTTAAAAGGGTGAACTATTATTAAACAGGAATCAGCTGCTACGTCTGACAATGACTAGCCTATTCCACTTATCTCGAACACACTGACGCAAGCACATGAGAATCTGACAGGCTGGTCAAACTGATTTCCCTTAAAAACGAAGTCTCGAGCGATGGAAATGGCATTTTTCCTTTATGGACTTACAGCAATGTCTCTCTAATTGTCGCACAGATTGTCCACGAAAATGGACAATTTAGGGAGAAGAGAGACGATTATTCGATCCTTGCGGTTCATTTCAATAGTTACGAATTGTCAACAACTATAAAAAAAAACGAGCTTCAAGGCGCGAATAATGGTATTTTCTCTTCCCAAATTGTCCATTTTTGTGCGCAATCCGAGCGTCAGTTAGGGAGACATTACTGTATATGGACTTTTACTCGGCGCAAATACGGACGCGATGTAGCGGCAACTAAAAACTGATGCAAAAATCATTAAAATAGGAAGATAGTGCTAAAATAATGGCGCATTTTTAATGTCAGATCTGAAATACTATACAATAGAGCAGGGGTGGCCAAAGCGACGATCGTGCAACTATAGTAATTTCTCCCCGATTCGCGCTAAGATTGCGCACAAAAATGGACAACTTGGACGATAATGGACGATTATTCCAGCTTAGCGGCTCGTTTTTATAGTTATTGAGACAATCGGCGACTGTAAAAACGAGCCTCGAATAACCGTATATTCTCTTCCCCTGATCGTCCATGTTCGTTTAGAAGCTGAGGGACAATCGGGGAGAATTTACCGCAACTCGGATCACCTTTAATTCGATCGCACGTTCGAAAAGTGATTTCGCAACGGACAGATTAAGTATTGATCTAAAATGACGCGCCACACGAACAATGATATTTATTAGAAAAATTATTTCACGATAAAAAGAATTATTTCGACGCGATAACAGTTTCTTTGCTCTCAATAGATCCGACAGTAGTCTGCGAGTAGATTAGATTTCGCGGTATTCTCGCTTTCCTTATTTACTTTGTCCTGCAATTGGTTGGCTTTTTATATTAGCCCGCTCCCTTGAATCCACTAATTACCTAATCTGCGATATCGTTAACAGTGCTTTCCCGCGAAGCATCTACGAGATATCGGTCGCGTGCAACACAAAAGCAGATACAGCGTTCTTTAAAAAAAAAGAAAAAGAAAGGAAAAACAAAGCAATCAAGTTGATCTTGAAATCACTCGATCGATAGAAAGTTGCACATGAACACTTCAAATCTCTATCGATCGTGATACATACCGTGTATCGGGGTGAGTACAAAGTATCATCTCGAAGTTAAGTGCAATTTAATGTAACGAATCAACGATCCTGATCCGATCACCAGCGCGTTTCGAGAATCGATTTCCTGGAACGCGTACCCGCGGAATCGAAGCGAAGCAAAAAGAAATCACTGTTCGCACAAAAGGTAAGGCGATAATCAGAGATTTCTTTATCCGCGACGAGACCGAACGACTTGCGAGAATTGGACACGTGCGGATCGGATCAAAGATTTCTTTTCACCGCGAGCTTCTTTTCACTGGTTCGCGTTTGCAGGAGTTTCCGTAGAAATTCGCGATTTCGAAGGAGAATGACTAATAACACGGATCGAGCAGAGATCGCGTTTATTCATGTCAGAAGCGTCGATTCGGCAAACGTACACAAGATTCCACTGTGAACGGATTAAATTCGAAGAGCGTCAGGAAACAAAGTTAACCCTTTGCACTCGAATGGCGACTCTGAGGCACCGCTAAAATTGTTATATCACGTTCCGAGATAATGTTTAAACTATCAATGTTTAGATTTAAAAGATTGTTAAATGCATAACTATCGCAGGAATCGCAAAGCTGAATTTCATACGCACAAAATGCGCTTTGTCATATAAGATAGAAATATTAGGCGTTCGGAAAGTTGTTTCGTTTCTGAAACAAAATTTCGTTTTGTAAGCTCGTTAAAGAAACACGTGATTCAGCAATCGAACGGGGCTTCCACGAGATAAGATTTTGAAGATACCAGAAAAATGGCGGAAAGTTTTCTTTTTATTTGAAACGTTAAAAAATTGTCTTTTATTTTCTCGTGGAAGAACGAAACAACTTTCCGAACTGTCCAATACAATAAATTATTATTTTATTATTATTATTATTATTTTTTTATTATTATTATTTTATTATTATTATTATTTTATTATTATTATTATTATTTATTATTATTTTAAATTTACACAGTTAAAATGGCTTTCGTGTGCAAAGGGTTAATGTCGAATTCACTGTTTCACTTTCGAAAATCCGAACTGACCGATCGTTTCTACATTGTTAGCGTATCGTTGCGACTTTTCTGCAACGTTATTGTACACCTGCGCGCGACATGCGAACGTAAATATTAGCGAGACGTATCTTTCGTCGCGCATGTAAAAGCGCTAAATTCTAGAACACAACTGAAATGTGTTCTTATCGAATCGAACACTAACGTTCGCGATACGCGACACAATTTAGCAACGCGAAACTTTTCATTCAAATACGATTTCAAAGAAAACAGAATGCGTCACGAACGGTGTACAACGCTGCGGACACGAAGAGAGTCCTTTATCGTATTGCGCGGTCCAAGGTTTATGGCGTTTTGCGATTAATGTTCCTCTAATCAAACCACGGTTTCCTCGTGTGGGCATACAGTGGCCCACAAAAGTGTTCGTACACCTTCTAAAGAGCGCAGTAAGTATTTTAACCCTTTGCACTCGACTCCGACTCATAACTTAAAATTGTTATATAACGTTTCGGAGTAATTTTAACATTATCGAATTTGTTTATATTTTAAAAATGGTTGAAAACGTAACTGTTGCACGAGTCGCAGAATTCAATTTCATATATATAAATTGCACTTGAGTCAAACAAAATGGGAATCCTGTAAATCGTGAAAACTATTTCGAATTTAGATATAAAATGGCTTCGAGTGCAAAGGGTTAAAACTGAATTAAACGACTTGGATTTTTCTTTTTTAGATGATAGAGGGACGATGACAGTAATGCTTTTTCTTTTTAATTTTGCTGTTACTTGGAATGACAGAGAAATAAAAATCTCTCGCTTTTTTAACTTTTCTTATCTTCACGTTGTTCCGAGTTACAACAAATTAAAGATCGCAAAAATCACAGTTTTATCACGGTTTTCACCAAAAATTGTACAAAATCTGCGGTTTTTAAAATCCTTCTGCGCCTGCAGCTCGACTCTGGGTTAACCGATTTCGATGAAATTTTCAGCATTCATATAAGTTACCGAGATCTACGAAAGGTATGTTTTAAATTTTTAATTAATTAAGAAACGTGACATTTTAATTTTTTTCTTTTCATTCCAATAGCAAAATAAAAATAAAAAAGCTTTTTAGCCATCGTCTAGTAGACTTTAGATGACCTCTGTCATCTAGAAAAAAAAGAAATTGAAGTTATCTAGTTCAATTTTCAAAAAATTGTTACGTTTTAAAAGACGCACGAACACTTTTGTGGGCCACTGTACACATTCGTTTCAGACTCGTTTCACAAACACGGCGACTCGTATCGATATTAGATTAAATTGAAGAAATTGATCTGTCCAATGCCAATGAGAATTACGAACGAGCTGCTAAAAATTACTGTCCACAAGAATTCCTGTCCGCATAAACGGCGCGGCAGAATAAAAATAAAAGATAAAAATAGCCGATAAAAACGACCGACAGCGATTTTCTAAAATGTCCCCGACTCGTTATCCAGAAAATTAGCTCTTACAATGTTGTCAGAAAAAATTCAATTAGTTCGGTACAAGTCTAGAAATGTTCTATCTAAAAAGAAAACAAAAATAAAACAGATAAAAGAATGTTTAAACATTGTCGAGAGTCACTGTATCTCAGCGTGTAAGCAATTAAAGGAAGAAGAAGCACTCGTTAAGAGATCGACTGGCTGATCGCGAGGCGATGATTCTACGAAACAAGAAACGATAGAAGGCATCGTAAAGCGGTGCCGCGCGCGTCAATAAGTACTGTGCAGCGCGATAACGTTATTGTTCCATGTACCTGAAATTGGATAAAAATAACTTCCGATTGCAGCAAGCTCTGGTCGCTTTATTCGCATCGTTTACCTTTGATCTGGATACCTAAACGGCCGCGATAATCGCGATAACGAGAGCCGACGACGTTTTTCTCGGATGGATGCGATCGAAACTACATACGTATTTTTGCGCAGGAATTTATCGAAATCGATAGAAACAACGAAGTTACGGACGCCCGATGCGAGGACGTGATACGGATCGTCCGATAGGTAGAACTTTAAACAAGTTTACCTAGAAACCTTATTTTATGATACGGCTCGCGCGGTATCTCGAGATATAATACCCCGGTCTCACAGATTCCACATTAGGAGAGAATCATCGGCGGGCTTATCGGAATCTCGTCGAAATCGAATTTTTCGAAGCGCCGTCGTTTTCAAAACAATGAAATAGGACATTCGGTTCGGTCGATTATCGGAACAGCCGCGCCGATATTTATGAGAAAGCTACACGCGTTTTGTTCTGTCTCGAATTTATCAGAACGCTCGGTATCGTATCGGCCAATCAAACTTCTTTCCAATTAGGGTTTTTAATTAATTAGGATAACAGTTGCAATAATTAAATCATGTAACGATAATAATTGTATTATTATAATCATTTACGATTATATGATAATTGTATTATTGTCATTAATTTAATTATAATTAATTACAATTATAATAATTGTATTATTGTCATTAATTTAATTATAATTAATTACAATTATAATAATTGTATTATTGTCATTAATTTAATTATAATTAATTACAATTATAATAATTGTATTATTGTCATTAATTTAATT